AGCTTCTAATTTCATTCCTACACGAAATCCGTGATTTGGAACATCCTGACATAGAGAAACAAAGTATGAACAACATTGCTCAGGAAAGTGCAGTTGGCTACCACCCAGGACAGCAAATGATCCATCTAAAACCATTTCCCAAAGTTTACAGCTTTAGTTATGTCACCATATTGCAACAGGGACACATTTAACTAGTCAGAAAAAATATTCATTTTCATTTCCCTCTGGTTAAAGATCAAATAGCTTAGGGCTGACAAAAATGGTTCAGTGTGCAAAGTGCAAGTCTGGTGATCGGAATTGAACCCAGAATCCATGTAAAGGTAGAAGGAGATCTGACTCTACAAGTTTGCTCTTTGACCTCTACATGTAAGTCCTGGCACAAAGAATCTCCCTATGCTAATTAAAATAAAAAAAATTATAAACATGCTTTTTTTCCTGAAAGAAAACACTTATATAATGTTTTCTTAATTTTCATTAAGAAATTCTTTTTCTTTCTGGTTGACACAGGGTTTTTGTGCCCGCCCTGGAACTCTCTCTGTAGACCACGCTGGCCTCTGAGTGCTGGGATTAAAGACGTGTGCCACCACTGCCTGGCTTTCATTAAGAAATTCTAATATAAGACAAAGAACTTTGGCTCAAGAATTCCTTCCATTCTTATGTCATAATCATGCCACAATTCAAATTTACCTTATTAAATAGTTTTACTGGTGCTGCAATGGAGCCGGTTTCCCTGAGGTAGTCAAACCATTTAAAAGGAAGTTTTGTGTAACCTAAAAAATACAACTGGTTTAGGTTAACAGTTCATTTAAAATTTAGCATCATTTTAAAATGCAGATAATAACTTACTTAGTACATGAAATCTCAGAATTTAGATGATATGATAATTTCTTTTTATTCTGTCTTAAAAATTATACTTTTGAGATTGCAGTCCCAAATAGCTCAGGCTAGCCTCAAACATGTTATGTAGTTGGTGCGGGAGAATTATCTGTATTCTGTCAATCATGTATTTTAATAAAACGCTGATTGGCCAGGCAGGAAGTATAGGCGGGTCAACCAGACAGGAAGTAGAGGCAGAGTAATGAGAATAGGATAAGGCTAGGGAGGAGAGAAGTTCCTCAGCCACTCCTGCGCAGATCACTGAAGAGACAGCATGTAACTTGCCCAGCTGAGAAAGGTACGGAGCCATTATGGCTAACATAGATGAGAATAATGGGTTAATATAAGTTATAAGAGTTAACAAGAAGCCTGACCTAATGGGCCAATCAGTTTATAACCTGATGTAGACTCCGTGTGATTTTCCTTGGGACTTGTTGGGGTACTGGGCGGGACAGAAACCCCAACAAGCTGGCTCTCATGTTACATGTAGTAGAAGGTTAACCTTATACTCTTTGCTTCTCCATTTCCAAATATCGGATTGAGGGTTTGTACACTTCACTTAGTGATACAAAGAACTCCTACCTCATGCTCTAAGATTACTGAGCATACTGGCTCCATAGTATGAGTTGTCCTCCTTTGCAGTCACATGTGTATACTTCCTTACCCTCATGCAGAAAAGATTCTTTACTACAAGGACAGACTTTTGCCCTTTTTACCCCTTGGTGGCACTGGAGATCTAGTCCAGGGCCTAAGCATACTGGACAAGGTGCTCCTACCACCAAAAACTACAACCCTTTCCTGAAATACTAGGCTTGACAACAGTCTAACATTTCACACTCTGAATTATTTCTTTTTTGTGAAGGAAATTAAACTGTCTGAGATAATGTCAACAAATTTTTGCCTTAACTCCACGTAGAGAAAAAAGCCAAAGGTACTGAAGCTACAAAGTCTGGTTAAATGAGAGTTGCTACTCTCTTCTGAGATAGACAGCTCGGCGTGCTCATTCACACCTTTAATTCCAGCATTCTGGAGGCAGAGGCAGGAGAATGTCTGTGGTTTATATAGTGAGCTCCAGACCAGCTAAGAATGCAGGGACCATGTCCCAACAAAACAAAAATAGAAGTCACGTGACAATCTAAAGAGAGCGCCCTTATTTCTACGAAGGCTAAGCATTCATTTAAAAAGTGCTCATGTGGGAGCTGGAGAGATGGCTGAGCAGGTCAGACAAGGGCTGCTCTCCCAGAAGACTAGGCTCAGTTTCTAGCACCCACAGGTCCTGTCTGTAACTACAGTTCCAGGGGATCTGATGCCCTCTTCTTTCCTCCTCAGGTACCTGGCACACAGCACCCAAGTGGTGCACACATGCAGGCAAAACACCCATACATATAAAATAATAAAAAATATTTTTAAAAAGGCTATGGTACTGTAACATATTAAGATCACTATGTTAGAGGGTTTGTAAATATTGATAACACATTGTAATATGAGCAGGTTCAGAACAAATACTGCAATTTATTAAAATGAGCTAAAATACAAAGTTTGTGTTTTATTTTAATTAACGTATTAACCAACCTTGAGCAGGGTCTTGTGTAGTCCTGGCTAGTCTGGACTCACTATATAAACTCACTATATACATAAACTATATAAATGTAGAGCAGGCAGGTCTCCAACTTGTGGGTGATCCTCCTGTCTTTGCTCCCAAGTGCTGGGATGTCAGACATGTACCACCATGCATAACTTCAGAGTATCCCAAAGCTCTTGCATGTTTTAAGAATATCTATACACACCCACATATATTGTGTATAAATACAAACACAAAAAGAAAATTAGGTCTGTGTTAAATGTAAGCAGGTACCACACAGAAACAAAGCAAGACAAAAAAATGAGTGCTTATACTGGGATGAAGTACCTCTGGGTGGAGTCAGTTCTATCATATTAATTTCACAGAAACCCACAGGGAAAATAGAAGGAGAGGTTGCATGATAACAGAACCAGTCAGATCCGTCTGCTGCTTCTGAGCCATCGATCCCAATCATCAGGAACCCATCAGCCAGCACCTTTGAAATCAAGAGAATCCCAAGTACTTAAACATGAAAATTACTATTACAAAAAAAAAATGGTATTTTAAATATTCTGAAAGGAAAATTTATTACTAAAAACCACTTTCTTATTGGATGTTAAATAGATATAAATAATAAGAAACTGATGGCTAATGTGTACCAGATACAAAAACCATACAGAAGGGGTTTCAGAAAAGCAAGTTTACCACAGAGATGATTTCAGATGCTTGAAAAACCAATGTCTTTGACTAATAATGAATTGAAATACTCTTTTCATAATTAGATCATCTAGTGTCCAGTGTGTGAAATGTTTGGTTACCAAGTCTAATGATCAGAGTTCAATCCCCAGGACCCACATGGTGGGAGAAGAGATTCAACTTCCTCAAGTTGCCTCTGATCTCTACACAGCACCCCCAACCCCCAAGCTAGGCAATAGTGGCAAATGCCTTTTTAATTCTAGCTCTCCGGAGGCAGATCTCTGTGACTTCTAGGCTAGCCTGGTCTTCAGAGTGAGCACCAGGATAGCTAAAGCTACAGAGGAGCCCTATCTTAAAAAACAACATCATCTCCCCACCACCAAGCCAACAAACAAACAAAACCCACCCCAAACCAACAATAATACTCTCCACAAACACCATCTAGTGTTAAGTGTCGTGTTTTCAGTTCTAACATGATAAAGCTTTCCTTCTCTTCTGACTTTGTATAGAGAATACCCCTGCTAAACCTCTATCTTCTTCAAATTGCCTTCTTTTACCACACTCTTCTACAACATTAAAACTGTTAACTACACTTTATTCAGACTGCTGTTAATAAACAGCATGTCTGCCACCTGATAGCAGACCTTGAACGTGAGATGCTTTCACTCCAACTTCTCAAGCCTGGACTAATTATAGAGTTGTAGCACCTCATCTAGCTCCTCCCACATTAAAAAAAAGGATTTCATTCATTCATTCATTCATTCATTCATTCAGTCTACAGTGTTCTGCCTGCATGTATTCCTGCATGCCAGAAGAGGGCACTATACATCATTAGAAATGGTTGTGAGCCACCATGTGGTTGCTGAGCATTGAACTCAGGACCTCTGCAAGAGCAGCCAGTGCATTTTTTTAAAACACATCGAACTTCTACATCTTGCTCAACTATGACAAGAAGACCTTGTCCAAACACATCACGTTTTATAGTCTAACATTTCCTAATTTCCATCATTAAATACATTTTATATCCTGCATAACCACCACAGGTTCAAACACAAAAGGCACAAGGTTACTGCGGTGAATTCAGCAGGCTGCACTCTGAGACCTAGGTAAGGGTACATACTATGCAATCTGCTGCTCTTCCATTTCCATCATTAGCTAGACTGTAAAATTCACTGACAACCCTTTTCCCAACTCAGTGGTCTACTTTCCACAGAACTTACCACTTCAAATGTAACTCTTATTTATTAGTGAGAAAAGGTCTCACAATGCACCTCTGGCTGGCCTATGTCTCTGAACGCTGGTCTATTGATTAATATTCACGCCTCCATTATTCCTTCTATAACTCTTTTGGTCGTTACCTTTTTACGTCCAACCTATACAGTTCTGATTTTAGCTCTTTGCTTTGTTTCGATGACCTCAGACACTATCAACTTCACAACCAACAGGAGTCTGCTTCCCTTCCAGAGTGTGAGTATTCTATTTCTACTCGGAAAGTGTTCTTGCAAGTTAGTTTTGCCTCAAGCTGACAGCTCCTTCCTTTAGTCCTTCCGAAGTAATTAATCACTTAGTTTACAACTCTTATCTCAAACATTTTACTCACTTTTTTTTTAAAAAAAATCTTAATGTAGTTATTACAGTTTTAAAAAATGTTATGTATATGGATGTTTTTGCCTGTATGTATACCTGTGCAGCATGTGTGTCCTTGATGTTCATGCAGGCCAGAAAATAGCATCAGATGGCCTGGAACTAGAATTATAGATGATCATGAGTCAACATATGGATGCTGGGAACCAAACTTAGGTCCTTTTGCAAGAGCAAACTAACCCTGATTCTCGCCCGACCATGGACCTGCCCTGTTGTCATCTTTTCGTTTGTACAGGAACCTCAATTGAGGACCTGCCTCTATCAGATTGGCCTGTGGGCATGTCAATAGGACATTTTCTTGATTGTTAAATGGTGCAGCAAGGCTCAGCACACAGTGGGTGGTACTATCCCTAGGCAGGGAGATCCCACCAAGTTTAAGAAAAGTAGCTGATGGTTAGGCCATGGAAGCACACACTTTTAAGCTTATGCTCAGGAGGTAGAGGTAGGTGGATCTCTGAGTTCCAGGACAGCCTGGTCTACAGAATAGCCAAGGCTAGACAATAAGACCCTGTCACCAATTAATAAAAAAAAGCTGAGCAAGCCAGTGATCAGAATTGTTCTGTGGTCTCTGTTTAACAAAGTTCCTGCCTTGTTTTCTTTAAATGATGGGCTACAGAGTAAGCTAAAGAAACTCTTTCTTCCTCATCTTATATTATGTATACTGTTATAATGGAAGCTTCCCGAAATATCCTAGTTCACACCTGAATTTGAGACTATTTTGTACCTCATTCTTCAGCATGTATCAAATTAACATATATTTGGATTGTTCTATTAGACAACAAGCATATCCATCACATTAGTATGTAATTTTGAATCTGTCTGTAGGTGTCTAACGTGAACAAGTATTTCATAAACCTATGTGTCATGGGTTGCATTGAAGTTCTGGGTGAAAAGGGGTTGAGAAGTCCTGATCTTGACCAAAACACATTAACAATTAAAACAGATCTGACAATAGATTTCAAAATTTATTTAAAAAGTTTTAGTAGCTTTTTTCCCAATAAAGACACAGACATACATAGGTTCCCTTCTGTTCTTAAACCTGGTTCTTCAGATTGAACTTCTTCAATTTAGAATACATTCTCTTACCTTTCTAATGGTTGCAACACATATTGTCGAAAGATTTAATGGGTCTATAGCTTCCAATTTCATTCCTTCTTTGAACCATTCTCCACTCTGGTCTACTTCTTTTACCTGGAGAAAGCATATACATTATACATGTCCTTTAGTATTTTTTTAAATTCTAAAATTTTTTAAATTCAGTGTGTGTGTGTTTGTGTGTGTGTGCAGGTGCCATAAGTATGTGTAGGTCAGAGGAGAACTTTTTGGGAGTCAGTTCTTCCTTCCCACCCTGTTGAGGTGTAGGGTCTCTCTCTTGTGTCTCCTGCACTGTGTACTGTAGGCTGTATGAGCTGTAAGCTTCCAGGCAATTCTCCTATCTGTACTTCTCATTTTGCTGTAGGAGTGTTTGCACTACACATGCGCTCTCTGGTAACTGCACCAGGCCTTTCACAAATGTTCAGAGCATCAGCATGTGCAATGGTACCCAAACCCGCTAAGGTATCTTTTCCTGGTCCATAACCCACCCGCACTCCCTCTCCCCTGCAGGGTCTTTCTCTGTAGCACAGGCTGGCCTAAAAAAACTTGTGGTAATCCTTCTCCTTCAGCCTCCTAAATGTTTCCATTTTAATAATGAAAATATTTCTGGCCGGGTAAAGGTGGAGCATGAATTTAATAGCAGTACTTGGGAGGCAGAGGTAGATGGCTAAAGGCCAGCCTGGTCTACAAAGTGAGTTTCAGGAAACCAGGTACAGAAACCCTGTCTTGAAACACATATAACACACATGAAAAAACAAACAAACAAACAAACAAACAAACAAACAAACAAAACCTAAAACCAAACCACCAATCCTATCTACCTAATGTTATAACTCCCTTTATTTAGGTAAGATAAAGAACTTATACATGTACACATAATTTAGGAATGAGTATAATAATGATTTGTGACATCTAAGGATTATAGATTTTAGTGAGCATATGTGATATTCACAACTTTAGGAAAAACTCCACAACCCTCTTTCAAACTAATATATGAGGGATCTTATAGAAACTTCTTACCTTAGCAAATAAATGTGGTGGTGTATCAAAATGTCCATCCTGTTTCTTTGTAATATCTACAAGGAAAAGTTACATACTAATCTGTCAGCATTTTTGAGAAGACAAAAAAAAAAAAGCTTCATTGAAGGGTTCAAACTTACAAGGCATGTAATACTCTAATCTAAAACATGGCAAAAAACAAAAACATGTCTTCTACATTTATGATGGCGAATAATATTAATAGCTTTTTCTGTCTTCAGAGCACATGAAAATATGCTATCAAATTTCAGTTAATTACGATGGTGGTAATTCTGAGAACATCAGAAGCTTTTTTTCCCTTTTGGTGTTGTGCTAGTGATTGAACAGAGAGCCTCACATATGCCAAATACTCTCAATACTGAACTAACTCCCCAGCTCTTTTCACTTTTTATTTTGATGCAGCAGGCTCACTAAGCTGCTGAGGGTGTCCTTGAACTGGTGATGATCATGCCTGACCATTCTGCACAGCCTGCACCAGTCAGTAGGCCTGTCTAGAAGAATGTTTTTGTGTGTTTAGTCAGGTCTAGTTAAATTTAATCTTGCCATCTAGATGATAAGTAAGTGTAAAGGAAATCCCTTCCCATCTTTCAAATGTCTGGATAATGAGACAACTGTGAGGAAAAAAAAGATTTTAAAAGAATTTATTTTGGTGCTAGAAATCAAACCCTCATGTATAAAAAGTACATCATTTTAAATGGGGAGGAAGAGGAAGGAACACATGGAATTATATCGGGGACCAGCCTTGACAAAAATACCTCTTGCCAGGTTAGAAGTGTGGGAATTTAGGAATATAGGTGTGGGGATTTAGGGATATAGTAAAGAATATAAAGACACAAGTGAAAATAAAATGGAGAAACGCAAAATAGTATCGGAAGAGAATTCCAATGAGTACTGAAATTTGCTCACATTTAATTTCCAATTTCTTTAAATACCCTCGACTCCAAAAGGTAGGAGTAAGACAAAAAAATTGCATTAACATGATACAAGGAAATGAACAGACCAATTGAAGGTTGCAGGCTACAACCACAGTTAAACATTCTATTCTATTGCTAGAACAAAACAAGTCACCCAAGACCAAAACATTCTGGAGGTAAACCAGTCCCTGGGTGGAATACAAAGTTATCTCCTTAAGGGAACTGGAACTTAGTTGGATCCATAGACTTTTGTTTGAAACATATCTATTTCTCTATTCCTGAAATACAAGGCTATTAGCTATCCTGTTGACAATAACCTAGGGAAAACTTTCTGATCTACATCTAGGTGGGGCCTTTGTGAAGTAGAAGCACTATAACTTTAAAAAACTAGAGGTAAATTCCAACTTTCTGACCTTTGGTCAACGAGGACATAGGCTCCCATTTTTGGGTCCCCACAGAATCAGTATTCTAATTACAGGAGAATAGTCAAAGTAGAATGCTTTCTTTGATCTATGCTTGTAGAGAGAAACAACCAAGTAGTTTATTCAACCTCACTGATGCTTTTAAGTTTTTGTGACAGTTGCTTACCAGATCTTTTGAATCGATGGCCTATGCTTCGAGACCATCCGATATGGTGGATTAAGGGGCTGTGCATGTGGCACCAGAAGTCATCCGTTCTATCTTCACTCTCTTCATACACTAACCTTAATCTTCCTCCAATTACACTTTCCACCACTGCTACTCTTGTTCGACATAAATGTCTCTTGTCGACTACTTCTACTCTCATGCAAGGCTTGAAAGGGTACTGCATACTCTCTGAAACCTTCAAACAAAAGCAGAAAGATCCTATATGAAACTCACGACAAAGGTCTACAAGTAGTTTCAATATTGCCCTGTCAATACTGTATATATTTATGTATTTGCTTTGTTTTTTTTTTTTTTTTTTTTTTTTTTGACACAGTAGCCCTATCTGTACGTAGCCCTGGCTGTCTTTTACCCTGATAGTAGTGGAAGCTGACCTTGAACTCAAGAGATCCACTGGTCTCTATGTCCCAAGTGCAGTGATTAAATAAGTGCACCCACCATGCCCTGGCTCTCAGTGTTTTGGGGACTGGAGTTTCACTTTGTAGTCTAGAAGTTAAGTTTACACAAATGGCCATCTTTCTGCCTTAGTCTCCTGAGTACTAAGATTACAGTATGAGTCACCCTTTCTGAACATGCATTTTGATATTTAACAGATCAGAAATTGTAATTCCTTAAAAATCCCTCTAAGTAATTCTTTTAGGATTCTATTTTTACCTTTTGTGAGAAATCAGGAGGAAGCGTTTTGGCACCAGTGAGTCTCTTTACTAGAAAAGCTTTCCAGTTTGTGTATTTGTGCTGAACAGCTAAAAGAAAAGAACTAACTAGTTAGCAAAGAGAATGTCACAAAATAATTAAAACAAAATACAACAAAAACAAGGTTAACAAGTTTCTCTGGAAGTCATGACTATGAATTAAAGTACCGAAAAGTAGCAAGAACGGAGAAAATAAGTATATCTTGCCAACATAAAAATATTTTAATTACTATATCACATTAGGATATTATATTTAAGATTTAAGAAAGCACTAAGATATATACATTGAAAATGACAGAGGAGCTGCAGAGTTGACCCAGTGGTTTAGAGAACTTGTTGCTACTCTCATGGGGTACTGGAGTTTGAATCCCAGTACCTACAAAATGGCTCACAACTGCCTAGAACTACAGCTCTGGGGGGCTCTACTGCCCTCTGTGGGGTCAGGCATGCATGCATGTATATATACATGCAAGCAAAATACTCATACCTATAAAATAGTGAATGTGAAGTTTAAAATAAAATAATAAAAAATAGTGAATGTGAAGTTTAAAATAAAATAATAAAATGACAGGGAGGCTACTCACTTCTAGGAGGAACGAGAGGTTTTCCACTGGCTGCACACCAACCAACTGGATGAATATCAGACCCACATATATTGCACCAGAAGTCCAGAGAAGAATCATTTTCAAATCCTTCATATCTCAAAAGGGCATTATAACCTAAAACCAACAAATTGATCATTACATAGAAAGATAATAAAACTAAAATGATTCAACCCCTAGGGTGATGGCTGTCAAACTCTGCTTTCCCTCTGTAGCAGAACCACTTGCTGTTGTTTACAAGCAGAGGGTAGTCCCTTCCAGGGACTCTCGCCCATGCCAGGGGTTAGGATTTAGACATGGGGTGGTATGGACAATCTACACTCCTAAGTCCCGGGGCAATAATGAACCTGTTGGACTATGATCCAACTTTGAGAATCCCTTGTTAATACAAAGATAATTTTTCAGTGCATGGCCTTTCCCTTTGTATTTCAATTAATATAATTTCTCAACTCTCGGAAGGGGGAAACACCTTAGCGAAAACAAGTGGTGCGATAGTTTCATGAGAGCATGCAGTTTTCTTTTTCTTTAGAGATAGAATCTCATGTAGATGAAGCTGGCACCAAATGGGACTATACAGCTGGAGACAACCTTCTGCTCTTCCCTCCACTTACCAAGTGCTAGAATGTTAAGTGTGATCAATAAGTCTGAAACAGTTCTTAAAGTTTTGTTTCTGGGATGTGTGTGTGTATGTGTGTACATGCATGTGCAGGTCAGAGGACAATCTCTGGTGTTGGTCCTTCCCTTCTGCCCCATTTGAGATAGGGTCTTTGGCTGTCTGCTACAGTAAACTAGGCAAGTTGGGCTACAAGTTTATGGCAGCTCTTCTTGCCTTTACTTCAACTTGTTGTAGAAGTAGTAGGCCCTGTTTATCTAAGGTTTACTACCAAAATAGCAAAGTGACTTAGAAGATATGTTCATATTGGCGTGCCAGCGTTGGGCAAGAATTTTCACGTAAAGTCTAAGAAAGCTTTTTTTGTGTCGTTTTGTTTTTAAAAAAGGCTTCTAAACACACAAAAAACAAGAGCCAAGTGCAGCTTCGTGGTAACAACAAGTTTTCAGATAGGCTCTGTTTGCAAGGGAGGTGCAGTAATAACTGTGTGGCTTCTTAAAAAAAAGAAAGAAAAAAAGCGGCAGCTTCCTGGTTTGCCAGCACAAAAGGCTAGAGCATTTAAATGGGTGCTGTGAGCAGACTGCTACATGGACTTTCTGTGCACCTAAAAATGGGGCAATGCACGTGGCTCTCAGAGGCAGCAAACACGCTTCTGTCACGTTGGACTGAACAGAGCAAACAGGCAGAGCAGCAGCGTTGTCTTTAGCCACGTCCACTTAGCATTAAAAAAAGGGGGGGGGTTGCTTCTGGATAGAAAATAATTACAGATACGAAATAAGGACAGATTCAGATAAAAAAGACTTCTAGATGGGTCACAGTGTTGGGTCAATGTACATAGGTTTGGGACAGAGAAGAAAAAGAGTAAAGAGACAGTGAATGTAATAGAAAAGAGTACAGAAGTCACAGGCAAAAGGAGTAAAGATAATAAAATATTATTGTAGAAAAAGTAATAGAATAGGAAAAATAAGCCATGTAAAGATGGAAAATACAGAGCCTGAGTTATGTATATTATTGTGTCTTCTTTGAATTTTTTGACTGTGAAGGAGTTAAGTACAGAGAAACATTTCATTGTACGAGCTGCTAAAAGGTATCTTGATTCCAATATTTGGGTGTAAGGAATTGTTGCTTTGGAAAAGAGGTTGTTCTTTTGTTTCCACAGAACATGAGAACCTGTGGATTTCTTCCAGACTAATGTGGTCTGATGGACCAAGACCTCCTTGAAAGGTCAACATGAACACTCCCAAAAATTACTTCGCCTAACAAAAAGCAGGAAGCAGTTTGGAAAGAACTACACCTATATTCCCAAATATTGCCTATAAATGTTTGTATACATTTAAAGGGGGATATGCTACAGAGATTTGCATTCGTATGGATCTTGGTTTATTGATACAATTTAAGGTCAATTTTGTTATATTGTGGATATATATTTCTGATCTTGATTAAGGCATTGTGCTTGTCTAGCTCATTTAAAAATGTAATGTACAGATAAGAAATATAGGTTAATAGATAGTCATCTAGTCAATAACATAACATCATGTTAGTTAGGTTTTCTAGATATACAGAGATATATTTCAGTTACACAGATATTCTTCAATTCTTTCAGAGACCTTCAGAATATGACATTTAAAATGTTTTAATAACTTAGGCCTTTTCATGACATGAGACACATCTGCTCCTGGCATCACCATTCTACTTCAAGAGGGTAACAGGCATGGAAGAAGCTCCTTATGGAGTTTGTTAGCTGCTTGGGCTAGAAACTGCTCCTGCCTGGACTGCTTTATGTTATGCTATATGAACTAGATATGCAGGACCCACAGAGAAATGACTGCCTAAAGGTGAGACAGTACTTCAGGGTTCCTGCTTCATGAAAGAGACTGCCAGACATTGTACAGGATACAGAAGAAAGTGACTGACAAACTGCCAATATAGATGAAACTGTCTTTAAAATTTCCTGCTTCATGGGAAAGTCTGCTAGAAACTATGGGCCTGTAGGCTGAAGATGGATGCCCCAATGTTACAGAAGAACTTTGGGTGACTGCTCAGGTAGCCAGATTATCTCTGTCAATTCTAGTTTTGGAAGTTGCTTACAATGCACTTTCTGTTAATTTAGGTAACATATCCGTCTGGAGTCTTTGATGGAATCAAAGAATAAATTGTTACAATCACAGTTTTTTTAGTTATAATAAAAGATAAAGTAGATATAAATATTGTTCACTATAATTCTTGCTTGATAACTGTTTTGCTATATGTAATTTTACTATATTAAAGTTAAAACCTACCTTTTAATTTAAATAAAAAAGGGGAAATGGCGTGGGAGGTCCTTCTGTATATGTGTGGCTTTTATTGGTTAATGAATAAAGAAACTGGCTTGACCTGATAGGGCAGAGTAGAGTTAGGCAGGGAAAACTAAACTGAATGCTGGGAGAAAGAAGGGCAGAGTCAGGGAGAAGACATGTAGCCCCATCAGAGACAGATGCTGAACTTTACCCAGTAAGCCACAGCCTTGTGGCAATACACAGATTAATGGAGATGAGTTAGTTTAGGATATGAGTTAGCCTAAATGTGCTTAAGCTATTGCCCAATCAATATTGCAAATAGTATGGTTTCTGTGTGATTATTTTGGGGCTGAGTAACTGAAAACAAAGAAGCAGCCTCCTACAACAAAGATATATGAAGTAAACAAAAAAAAACATATGCAAGTGACTCAAACATCTGGGACATAAAACCTGTGATGAAGCATTTAAAGAATGCTTATGTAGACAGTTGTCTCAAGGAAAAGATATGGGATTGAAGTGGATAGAAGAAAACAGAGCCTGTGACTCTTGCTTGTCAGTGATTAAATGCATGGATAAGACAAAAACAACAACAACAACAACAAAAAACCCCCCAACAACAAAAAAAAATCTGTTCAACACTTCAGAGTGAAGTTGCAAACTGTGACTCCCTTAAAGGATAAAGAGGCTACTGGTGATGCGTGAAGAGAAAAGTGTAATTAGATTTTTTTTTTGTGGGTAGGGATGTAGCTTATTGGGAGAGGTCTTGCCCAGCAGCACATAAGGCCTTGGATTCTCTCACCCCCCCAGGACACTTTGTTTGTTTTTTTTTTTTTTCTGAAACAAGGTCTTTCTGTTACATAGGCCTGGCTGATCTGCAACATGCTACATAGATCAGGTTGGCCTCTAACTCAGAGATCCACCTGCCTCTGCCTCCTAAGAGCTGGGATTAAAGGTGTGGGCCCACCACATCTGGCACCAAGGCCACTTTTGGGTAACTCTGGGGAAGGTGTATAGTAAAGCAATCCTCAGAGTTATAGGGAGACAAGCAGGAGATAAGCCCACACAGCTGGCCTGACCTACTGCTTGACTTTTTTTAATGGCTAGAAAGAACTGAAGGAACGATATTTCCTTCAGATAAAGATGTGATAGCTTTATGAGACTCAAATTTCATGAATAAAATTCTACAGTTAAATTCATTTGTTTCTATGTTGCTATAGTTGTTCACTGTTAAAATGGGGGAGATGGGGTAGTGTAATAGACTTCAAACCCCACAAATCCAAGAATATTTATTGTTTGGCTAGTTATAAAAGAATTTAAACTCTAAAAAAATTTTTTTTTACACAAGTTTTTGTCACTGGCATTTTCTAGTAAATCATCATGTATGGTTTTCACCTGCTAATTTTATAATTCCAGCAATCCAGAAGACTTTGGTAGGTAGACTGCAGTCTGTATTGGGAACTTCTATTCTTACATTTTCTGAGATATCACCCCAGCAGGTCCCCATAGGTGCCTGTCATACAAAAATTATTAAATTATTATCTTATAACATAAAAACGGAATATCATTCAAAATTAAATATCATCAATAATGGAATATTCAAATAAAAATGTCATTTTAATTCATTCATATTTTCTTGAAGTACAGTTTCTATTCCTTGATAAAAAGAATTCTGTACGGAGACAGCCAGAGTCAGGATCAAATTCAAGATAGAAGACAGAATGTGCATCTATTAGATCCACGTTGACTTTGAAATTCAAGACCAAATGTGACATTTAAGTAACATTTATTCTAAAACCTGAATGATAAACATGGTCAACATCCTAAATCAAGGTGACTTGAAGAAATTCAGTGTTTTTAATGTGTACTGAATGAAAATACTTTAACCCTTAACTTTTAAAGATCTTGCCCAAGAGTAGAAAAAAAAATTCCAATTATAAGGTTTCAACATGATCCGCAGAAATAAAACAGGTATTTCAAATATAAGCTAAATTCACAGAACGTAAAAAGTCTATTAAGACGGACAGGAAAAAGCAGTGGGAAAGTCATTAAAGGGGGGGGTTATTGAAGAGATTTAGGAAATGAGGCCTGCAGTAAATTGTTAAATAACTTAAATTTCTCGTGCAACAATTACTATGAAAAGAAAACTTCCAATGTTGGAGCTGCTGATCACTGGCATCCATCCATACTACTGATTAAGATGGCAACTGAGAAAACTACCTGAAAGTATAACAATCACATCCCCAAAAGGTAATGGTCTCACTTCTATGACTCCCTAAACTGCAAGGCAATACACAATTACTTTGACCTTATGAAATAGTAAATTAAATCAAGTACACGAATTTATAATTATTCATTAGTGCTGGTAATTCCAGTCTCTGTGGCCCTGGACAATCAGGTTTCCATGAAATGTAGTACACTGGACATAAATAAAAGGATAAGGTGAGGGTCTAGAAGGCCTGGTAATGTGAATAAATCAGGTGAAAACAAAACAGCTTCAAAATTAAAAGATAAGCAAGCATAGAATGAACTAGCAAATATGGACATTGGGAAAATGTATTCCATAGAAAAAGTGCCCCACCATAGTTTGATGTAATCCAGAACAGAGTCAGTCTAAAGCAGCATTTCACTCCTGTCCTCTAAACAGTATATAAATTTCTGAAGGAAACAGTGTCAAATAATGGCGAACTAAGATCTAGAAACCAAAGACAGAATCAATTAATGGCTAACTCTTTGAGTAGCAGCAACAAATACACCTCATTAACTTAGAGACACGCCCAATCTCAATTATTTGTGATTATGGGGAAGGAACACATATACATCTTCCCAAGAGGGAAGGGAAAAAACAAAACTACTTCCTCCCGTTTTGACACAGGGTTTTGCTATGTAGTTCAGGCTGGCCTGGAATTTGCCATGTATAGCACACTGGCCTCAAATTTGCAATGCTCCTGCCACAGTCCCCCTCCCCCTCAAGTGCTAGGGTTATAGGTGCGTGTGCCACCATGCCTGGTTTTCCTTTGTAAACAGGAAGATTGGACCCTTCAGGTTCTGCTACCTCCCCTACATCATTCAAGACTGTAGGGCCATCCCTATTGCCAGCAGATATGATCAGAAAAGGAGAGGCCAGAAGGAAGACAGGTAACACAAACTAAGCTAACATAAATTAATACAAAGACCATATATATTCATTTCTTGTAAAGTTTAGCCATCAGAGAAGATAGGTGCAGGTAAATGCATGCATAAAGCTGCATTAAACTCAAGAAGGGTAGCTACTCTTTGCTTGACTGCCAAATCTGTGAATTCAGTTTTTATTGAGAAGAGCCATGGATATATACTGACAAGCTAAATACAAGGTTAGGTGGGCACAATGCTAAATGAAATTTGCATACAGGACTCCTTTCTGAGGTAGACTTGACAAACTGCTGATCTTTTTACTTTTTAGTGCTATTTATTAAAGAAAAGGAGTGTCAATATTTACTCAAACAAAAAAGGTAATGCTCACTTGAGTGGGAGATCTTTGGTTTGATCCCTATAGTCTGGATTGGTATAGGAGAAAGTAGCAGAAAGTGACATTTGTTCTTGCCTGTAAGGTTGTGGTTCTGCTAGGCCCTCTTAAACCAATCCATATGGTTCACTCTATGAAAAAAAAATGAAGGAATAAACATCAACAAGATAGAGCACTACAGTTATAACAGAGTATGTGCTCAATGTGTTGAAATAATAGTGATTTCATAGATAAATCTGCCCTTTTTTTAAAAAATAAATATTGTTTTAAGTGTGGAAGACGGAATGACCCAGGGCTTGACAGCCATCTTCATCCAAGTCATCTGTCTTCTCTTGCTGGCAGGAGGGATACCTTTGAAGTCTGGATTGGTATAGCATGAACTAGCAGAACCATCATTTACAGGTAACAACAAATTTACCTTCCAGACTCAGGATGCGAGGTCTACCTCAGGCTCCTCCCAAACAAGGAAGATCTGCTCCACCACTTCCTGCTCCAGGGCCACTCGTGAGAGCTATCTGGGAGCGACTCTCCTTCCCTGCAAAGTAAGCTGTCATCAGGTCCTGTAGAGATGGCCAAATCCAAATGCTGAGGGGTCCCCAACACAAATGTATTATAACCTCCACCTACCTATCTGAAAGAAAATAACCTGGCAGGAAGTCATACATCCTTCATTCTGAGAACATTCCCAGATAGTTTAATAGCCCAGATGTCTGGCAATCAGATGCTATGAGGGCACACATGATGCACACAGAAATAAAGATCTCCTTCTACAGCACTACTAACCTCAAACTTTTGATAACCGCAACCAACTTTTAGAGAGTGTAAAGGGGCAGAGGTTAGACCTGAAGTTGCAGGTAGGAAACCAAGAAAGAATTTATCCCCACAATAAAGCAAAATCCACCATTACTATACCTCAGAACACTAAAGTGTTCCTATTAGAGAAAGATGAAATATGTTTGGTCAAAAAAGACAAGGGAAGAAGCCAGGCACAGTGCTGCACGTCTGTAATCGCAGCACTTGGGAGGCTGAGGCAGGAACTGAAAACTAGCTTGGGATATACAGCAAGGACCTATATCTCAATTTCTGCCTTGACCCAACAAAACAAAACAAAACAAAAACCCTCCAACCTATTCTCTCCAGAAAGCGTACTCACCTTTCGATCTGATACCAGAATCTATTAGGGAGGAGGGTGGGGGTGATGATAGCACAGAGATGGGGAGTGCAAGGAAAATAGAAAAGGAAAATGGAATATCTGAGAGCACTCGAGAAAAATGCTACAGATGTGTAAAAAAAAAAGAAGTCACTAATTTGAAGGCTTTTTTTTTGGGGGGGGGGGGAGTTAGACAAGGCCTTACCCTGTGGCCCAGGCTGTTCGAGAACGCACAATGTAGACCAAACTAGCCTCATACATGCTGTGATCCTCCTGCCTCAGCTTCCCAAACAAGGAAGCCTTCTATGTGAATACAGGTATGCAGCTACTTGATGACAGGTAAAATATGCAAAACATATTTTAATCATTAGGAGATACCAAAAGAAAAACAAAATCCACTCGGGAAGAGAGTCCGAAGATAAGACATTCATTTAGATTTCCTTTTAAATTAGGTTTTCCTGAAAAACCTATTGCAGGTGGTTTTCATAATGGGGGCTTCCCTGCCTTTGTAGAGAGAATACATTGCGTATTAGTGTTAGTGTGGGTGGAGGACCAAGTGTCAGAAATCAACTTAAGTTTTCCTTTCTTAAAGATTTATTTTGTGCATAGAACACTCTATCTACATATATGACTTTATGCCAGAAAAGGTCATCAGATCTCACTACAGGTGGTTGTGAACCACCATGTGATTGCTGGATATTGAACTCAAGATCTCTGCAAGGGCAGCCAGTGCTCTTAACCACAGAGGTATCTCTGTAGTCCCAAGTTTTATTTACATTAGAAATAAATTTTATAATCTAAGATGACACATGGAGGTTCTAGCTTTAATTATAAAAGAGATGAGTTATATTATGCATTTTGCAGAATCCTCTTTCTGTAGGTCAAGGACAGAGGAAGAAACACCCTAAAAGGTAATTTTAATAACATTCTTAATAAACATATATAACCGAGATATCATATCATGAATTTACTAAAAAGCCAAACTATTGTTATAGCTCATAAACAAACAAGAGGGCTTCTCTTTTTCTTTTTCTGAAATTTTATTTTCTGTGCATTGGTGTTTTGTCTGCATTCATGTCTGTGTGAGGGTGTTGGATGTCTTGGATCTGTAGTTGTAGACCATGTGAACTGCAATGTTGGTGCTGGGAATTGAACTCTGGTCCTCTGGAAGAGCAGAGAACGCTCTTAATCGCGGAGTCATCTCTCCATTAAAACAAAGCAAAAATGTATGATACATGCTACAAATAAATAAAAACTTATTTCTTCAGAAAAGCTGCACTTAGGTCAGGGATAAAAACAGAAAGACTGTATTATGTGACAGATACCGGGTGTATTCACGGAGGCAGAATGAAAAGGTCAAACAGCTTTAAAGTCATAGTATAAGCTAAGTGTTGCAGATCATGTCTTATCCCAACAAATAAGAAGCTGAGACAGGAGGATTGCCATGATTTCTAGAGTAGTCTTGTCTATAGAAATCCTGCTTTGAAAACTAACCAATCAACAAATCATCTCCCCAACCACAAAACCCAGCACTGCCCTCCCAATTCCAAGTCACAGTATAGCTACTCATGATGGCACACTGTTATCCCCTTTGAGGAATCTGAGGACGACTGAGTTCCAAGCCAGCCTGGGCTATATAGTATAGACCCCTCCATTCTCAGATAAGTATCTGTGAATTTGATGAACCTATACAGTATATATAAGCGGTTTATGGTAATATGATTAGTATTTGCTTGTTTGTTTTTGCCTTGTGTGGATACTACTAGCTAAGAACTAAGAAAGGGCTGGAGAAATGGCTCGGTGCATTCTGCTTTTGTGGGACTTTAGTTTTGTTTCTCGACATCCCTATCAAGTGTTTCACACCCACTTGTAATTCCAGCTTCAGGTGACCCTGACATCTTTGACCTCTATAGGCATCTGTACTCATGTGCGCATACCACATCACATACAGACATATACAAAATAACAAAAGTAATCTGAAAAAGAACTAAAAACTTAAAATTCTGAAAAAGAACTAAAAACTTAAAATTCTGAAAAAAAGTTTAAAATTATAACCCAATTTCTCAAAAATGTAGTAAAGCTTTAACAAATGGTCTAGGTCGAGCTAAAGGATTCTGAAGAAGCAGCCAGCTTTGTGACTACACATTAGCCCAGGCTGGCCTTAAACTTGTGGTCCTTTTGTAGCTGAGATTACAGGGCTACAGCACTATGGTTGGTTCCAAAGAAGTTTTGCTTGTTAGTTTATTTATGAGACAAAGTCATGCTAATGTCACCTCATTGGCCTGATACTGAGTACACATCTTAGGCTGGCTGCAGACACAATGGCCACACACCATTTGGCTTATTCTTCTGAGTGCTGGGTTGCAGGTATATACCACCAATGTTTGACTCTAAGATAGATACCTTTAATTTTTCTAAATTTTATTTTTATTTTAAATTATGCTTATGTATGTGTGTCTGTGGCTTTGTGTATGTCTATGTAGCTGTTCATGGAGGTCATAGGCATCATATCTCTGTGGAGCTGGATTTAAAGGCAGTTCTGAACCACTCAACATGGGTGCTACGAACAGAACTTGAGTCCTGCCAGAGCAGTGTATGAGCTTAACTGCTGAGTCATTTCTCTAGTATTACGTGTGTTATGGAACTTCATTTCCAGAAATTATAGTTTCACACTTGAAAATGTATGACTGTTTTAAGTGCTGAGAATAGTGTATTTGGACCTTTACTTGAGAAAAAAATAGGTAAACTGGAGAATCCAGGCAGTCAGGATTCTGACAACACCCTTATAACAACTCCTGTTTCAACCCAAACAGCCTTTGCTTCTGTATTATACATTACAGGTTGAGTGTTTGTAAATTAGGTTTGAAAAAGAACCTCTACCAGCAAGAAGGCTCCTATTTGATACCCAAGTGGGCAAGAGGACAGACGTGGGTCTCTAAGAAGAAAACCCTGCCAGAGAATGCATTACGTCTTAGAGATATGATGTTATGAGATAGGGTCTTCTGCGCCCAGTAATTCCTGGTAAAAGACTTCCCACAGTCCAAACCAGAAACTTCTCTTAGAGACAAGAAAGAAAATGGTCTCCAGGGAAAGACTGGAGAGCCAGCTCTGAAGAAAATAAAGGTTAGCATGAGTTCTACCTCTTAAATCAAATGGCTTCAACTGAAAACGTTGACTGAAGCAGCAGAGCAAATTCACTGTACTAAGTAAGACAAAGCTGTTCCTCTCTGATAAGCAGAAGGCAGTAAAGAAAGGTGAGTGGGACAGGAATGATGGGTTTCACATATCCGACATATGCTTCATTCTGAGTGAGAAAGGGAAGGTGCCACATTACATTAGTAAGTTAGCTGCTCCATTCTATGCCACAGAATTATTGCTAGTCTTGAACTCACTATGTAGCTGAGGCTAGCCTTAAACTCTTGGATCCTCCTGCTTCCACCTCTCAAGTGCTGAGATTATAGGTATATGGTACCATACCCAGATCCTGACTGAATTTAAATTATAAAATACATATTCTCAGGGGTGGAGAGTTGGCTCAGCGGTTAAGAACACTGACTGCTCTTCCAGATGACCCGGGTTCAATTCCCAGCACCCACATGGCAGCTCACAACTGTCTGAAAATCCAGTTCCAGGACATCTGACACCTTCACACCAACGTACATAAAATAAAAAGTTAAATAAACCATGAAAAATATTTGAAAAAAAAATAAAATACATATTCTCATTGTTAAAAAAAAAAGCAAGATGTTACAAGTCTAAAGATCCTTTATTACTATCTCCAACCCAATTCAAGCAGTTCTCTTGACATAACCACAACTCTCAGTTTAGTATTTATTTTTCCAGTCCTTTCTGGAATTGAACTTATTTCCAAGGTAGAATTAACTGCTCTATGACCATTTCAATCCTAAGAACAGCAAAGCTTTGAGCAAAATCAACCAATGTAATTAATGGAAGAGATGTACTCGAAGAACTTTAGTCAGCATAATTGTTCAAAGATACGGACAGGACACTTTCAACACCTTGAAATGCTATTTTTAAAATATTCTGGCTGCTTATATAAAAAGGTTTGACCTAGTTTATGATATAAAACATTAAAAAGACGATCTAGAGAAAGATGAAAGCCATTTAAAAAGAGACAACAGACAAATGTGCCAGGAATCTGGGATGAAGACTTACTATGGAATTCTGAACACCTCAGCACCACAGAGCAACACTGTGAAGTTTGTGCTTCATGTTCTGCAGGGCTAAGTATAGGACTTTTAGTGTGTGGCTGGGTAGGTGTACTACCAGTGAGTGACACCCAAGTTCTGGAGTTCTCTTTCTAGCTGTTATACATAATACAACCATATAATTACACAGTTGTTTCCTAGTATGTCAGTATTACCAACAGTACAGCATAAATCATCCATTCGACTCTCAGATAAGCACCTAAAGGTTGCATTTTAGTTTTCTTAGCATGTCACAGACAAAGGGCTTAACATTTGTACACTAAGGGAAGAAAACCAACAAATTAATGCATCAGGCTTTAATATACATTTATTCTAGTGAAGTAATTAGTATGCTTTTGGTAAAAATCCTTCACTTACAGGATGAGTGAGAACTCCTTTGGATTTCATGGTAACAAAGTATGTGCAGTTTGTTCATAACCTATTATTTACTAAAGCCCTTAGCAAAAAGTGTGAACAAAACTGCATTAATTTCTAACTTTTCTGCTTATGTATGCACAGAAGTAGACAGTTGTTAAATATAAATTAATCATAATCAGGTTAAGAAATATTAGGTCAAATTACCAAAGATAAATCAAACTGAAACAACACAACATCTGACACACTGTTTTTACAACAGATGCTGGGAAAATGACATCTTTCTAACTGTTTTTTTTTTTTTTGAAAGTAACTAACTGTTTTTAATGACACAGATTACTTCCTCCAGCTCACAAGAAAACATTCCCGCTGCTTTGTGTGTGATTTTACATTTGGAGGCAAAAACAGAACTGGAGCAAAACTAGCTCTTAGAAATGACCAGTTCAAATCACAAAGTTCTTAGATGTGTTAGGCTGAGCCACAGGATACTGCTAGCAGCCAACCAGCTCTGTTACAGAACTCCTCCCATGCATTTCATGTTTTATATGATTTAACATGGAAACTGGATGAGACAGTAAATTGTTTTTAAATTTTTTTCCCCTGTGTTTTCAAGACAGGGTATTTCTGTAGTTTTGAAGCCTGTCCTGGAACTAGCTCTTATAGACCAGGCTGGCCTCAAACTTACAGATAATCTAACTGCCTCTGCCTCCCAAATGCTGGGATTAAAGGCATGCACCACCACCGCCTGGCTGAGATAGTAATTTTTATTGTTCAAAATCATTCATAATGCAACTAAGAAACCTTTTTTCAAATTTTATGATTGGTATTTTGCCTGCATGTATATCAGAAGCCCTGTAACTAGAGTTACAGACAAGTGTGACATATCCTTGGGGTGCTGGGAATTGAACTTAGGTCCTCTGGAAGGGCAGCAAATGCTCTTAACTACTGAGCCATCTCACCAGCCTGCAACTAAAACTCTTTTTTTTTTTTAATGTTGAAGGCAAAACACAGGATCTTCAATGTTCTAGGCAATCACCTTGTCACTGAGCTACAATACTTAAGAAGCCCTCAATAAGAGCTCTTTTGTTAGGCTAACATTACTTGTAAAAACATAAGAAATTACTCTTAGCTATTAAGAATAATAATAAAAGACTTTTTTATTTTATGGTATAAACAAAAAGTTTCTAAGGATAAGATGATGAGCTGTTATTGTATCTTCAGATTTAAAGATCACACATTTCATGGTAAGGGAGAAATTCCATACTCACATGCTTAAAACAAGCAACTGGAGCGGCTATGAAGCTATTGCTGTTGATGTAGTTACCCCAGCTGAAGCCTTCCACGGAGACTGCTGAAATAAAGTAAACTTAGATATAACTAACTCTCCAACATTTTATTTCCAAAACAATTTTTCTTATTTCTAGACTTAAACATGCTAAGCCACATCCTGTTAGCCTGAAAGTTATTACTATTTTATTTGTTTATTTTTTTTCTTTTCAAGACAGGGTTTTTCTGTGTAGGTCTGGCTGTCCTGGAACTCACTCTGTAGTCCAGGCTGACCTCAAACTCAAAGAGATTCACCAGTCGTTGCCTCCTGAGTGCTGGGATTAAAGGTATGGGCCACCAGTTGGGCTGTGGTGGCCTATACCTTTAATCCCAGCACCTGGGAGACTCAGGAGACAGACGAAGGTGGATCTCTGAGTTTGAGGACAGCGTGGTCTACAGAGTGAGTTTCAGGCCAGTCAATGCTATACAGAGAAACCCTGTCTCAGAAAACAAATCAAAAAACAAAACAAAACAAAACACCAACCCCCCCCAAAAACACAACAGCCACACACACAAAACAAACCCAAACATACAAACAAACAAACAACAACAACAACAACAAAAAACACCAAATAAAAAACTAACTAAAACCAAAATCTCTATAAGAAAGTTTTCGAGGCAATGTGATGACAAAAGCCTGCACTTAAAGCACTTGAGAGATGATGACGGGGACCAGAGTTAATCAGTTCTACAGAATAAGACCCTTTTTTCAAACCCACTCTCATCAAAAGCTTTTGTTTTTCCATAATGATTAAAGAACTTGACTAAAGAATGTGAACTTTTACTGGTTAAGCACCCTTTCTAACTACTTATTAACAAAAGTATATTAGATTTCAGAGTTTCATGGACTTTCAGCATGAACTTTACTGATACTTAAACAGCACATATTTCAAAACATTTTGTATTTCAGATTTTCTCTTTTGGTAGTGCTAGGAACTGAATGAGGGCCTTATGTACTGGGTGAGTACACTACCAGTAAACAAATGCCTTCCTCAGATCATATTTTGTGTTTCTAATTAGGGATGTCCCACTTTTATTTACAAATACATTACTACCACTACTACAACACCTTTGAGTGTCAATTACTCCCTCCTACAACAGTCACCAACAAACCATCTGACACCAGGAAGCACATAGTGCTATCAGAAAAAACATAGTTCAAACACAATCCAAGGTCAGATGAATAATATTTCTCTTTTATTACATTCACCAGAATTACCTGCTTTTGTCTTTGCTTGATTTTGCAAGGTAGCTTGATACTGAGCATAGGCAGCTAATTTAGCAACTAAAGGTTGTTTCTGAAGGACTTTTGCTTTCTTTGTTGGAGGCTTACCCTAAAACAAGAAAAGTTAAGTAAATAGAAATCTTCACCCCCTCCACAACTGAAATTTAACATGACTGTATACTACTCATTCTGCTTAAATATTGAGGGTTTAGATAATTATTAAAGCAGAGGAAACATCCAAGGAATTTTAACATGAGAGTTTTTTCTTTTTGTTCTGCTACAATGTAGTTATCTAATACGGGCTGCAGAGCTGGCACAGACTAAAACAGCAATATGCGAATTAATATGTTAATAAAAATTATATCCCGTAAGATGTTAAAATATAGGTTGTGGTGGATACTTGACCTCTTCTTAGAGTAGAAAGAATCAGTGTTATTCACTCATGCAGCTGCGAAGCATTGCTACTGATATGGTAAGAGAAGACAACTGAATGTTCAAAGAGCAAGTGACTGAGGTTTATACCTTTAGTGCTAATGCAAAAGGTCAATGACATAATGATCATGGCCAATTCAGTGTGACAAACTGCCATCCATTTGGGTACAGACCACTGCTCAGGATCTTTGGGAACTGTCTATCTGAAATATAGAAATACATCTAAGTGATGTATTTCCTTCATCTGGGGCTTTAGATAACCTTTTCAGTGCTATGCAATGATCACCATCAGTTAAGAAAGGCAAACTTGTGACCATACAGAAGATAATCACGAAAATCAGTACTCTAATGCCTTAAGAAATTTTAAGTTGGTATGGTAACAACTTAGTCAAGTAGTCAATACTCCAGGATTCTATAGGCATTTATATACATATTAAAAAAAGATAATTTTTCTTTTCATTTCATGGATGTTTTAAAAAAGGTGAGTTATATTAGCAAGCATATTTGGCTAAGGTATCAAACTGGTTGTACTCAAAAGTACAAAGTTGAATTTGCCTGTCATGCATAAGGCTGGGGTTCATCACCAGCAACAAAAATTCCATGAACAAAAACCAAAGTACAGAGCAAGATGGGGGTGGAGAGGAGAAGAAAAGGAAAAACAAAAACTCAAAGAATAAATCATTTTAACCAAAATGGCAATTCTACCTTGATATTAACTCAAGGAAACATTAGGGAGGGAGCAAAAGAGAAAATGGCCATATTATCTACATATAACAAGGTGTTTAATTGCACTTATGTGGAAAAATGTCTTTTTATTTCATTTATAAAGATAATTTATAGCTTATTTTGGATAGCCTGTCTTCACCATGTAAGATAACCCAGTTTATATTACTCGTGGTTTATACATTTCCTAAAAGTGCACGCTGTAAATCACTGGCCAGTTGGGCAGAGGCAAAGTTTTGCGAACCACAGTCAGATGACAAGTAAAAACCATGGGAAACAGGAAGAATAAGAAGGTTTCTGTACCGTTACCTGAAGTCTGGCCAGAATGCTTGCCTTCTTAGAGTTCGACGAGTAACTTCTTGAACAAGAAACACTGCAGAAACGTTTTGTTTTAGAGTAAAAAGCGTCTCGTACACCGACCATCCCACACATCTCACAGGTAGCTAATTAATAAAATAAAAACATCAGTATGAAAGATCACAGAATAAATTCTAATCTCTCCACATGCTTAGATGTATTTATCTAAAAATCTGCAAAGAACCCTTTCCCTCTCTCTTAGAAATGATAAAGAAAAGTTATAGACAGGACCTGTATGAAGCTGTGGTGGTGGTAGTGGTGTATAAAATCTGAAAATGTCCTCAAGTCCTAAAGGCATTAAAAAGGTCAAGAGGTATGGTGACATATGTCATTGTGCGTGTGTGTGTGTGAGGACAGAAATCTTATTTTCAACTATCATTTTCCTAATGCTTATTATGTTATAGGCATTTTCATATATGATACACATATAATATTTATTATGAATTTCAGTTTTTAAAAGGATTATGTGCAGAAGATTAAAAGGAGAAAAAAGATTAAAAGGAATGCAAAGGCCTTTAAAATATTGCAAAGGTTGAAACCAAAAAAGAGCAAGCATTTAGAAAAATGAAGAGTATTCTTTCAATTACGTCCAGGGACACAGAAGTATGGAGCAGATGAGATGCGTGAGGTCAGGGCAAGAGACAACTCGGCCTCTGATGGGTATTACATAATGGCCATAACTGGGATTGGCTATGCAATCAGGCTGAGGCAGAAGGGTTAAGAGTTCAAGGTCTGCCTAGGCTATAGAGAAAACTCAAGGCCAGTGTGGGTAAGTAAAATCCTGTCTCAGTAAAAAGTGGGCTTGGATATAGTTCAGTGGAAGAACACTAGCATGCATGAGGCCCTAGGTTTAGTCCTTAGTACTGCCTAAGAGAGAGAGAAAACCAAAAAAATCCACAGGTTAATGTTCCGCCCAAATGGTTAAAGTTTAATGAGCACTTATACATCTTTGAGAAATGGAAACAAGACAAAACACTAAAAATACAAGGAACTGGCAATGAATATGGGGTGTCTCTTACGAGAAAAAAAAAAGAATGGTTTGTACAAATTATATGTCATTAAAAGATTTGCAATTACCTACATTAAAAAAAGTCTGCTGCAGTGGTACATTGTTTTGTTCCTAATACTTAGAAGGCAAAAGCAGGCCCTGTCTCCACAATGAGTTCCAGGCCAGCCTGGTTTACAGTGAGACCCTGTCTCTCAACAAAACCAAACTAGTCAAGTGGATAATGAATCCTTGACAAGAATTATACAACGTCAACTACAGTGCTCTTTTGTGGTAAGATTTCCACACTGGTATGATATCATCAAGCCACAGCAAGAATATGTAGAAATAGAATTAAGCTTTTTTTCCCCCCTTGAGACAAGGTCTCACTATGTAGCCCTGGTTGGCTTGGAATTCACTATGTATTCTAGGTTGGCCTTAAACTCACAGAGATCTGCCTCCCTCTGCTTTCCAAGTGCTCGGAGTAAAGATGTACACCACCATATCAAGTTCAGTATTTCTGACAAAAGTTTTCATATAGCTTTGTTGATCATAACTGAGAAATGTCAGACAGAGTAGAATACACCTAGGAAATCCTTCTTTTCTGGTTTGTGGTGCTAGATTTAATAGATTTAACATAGTATCTTTCCATGCAAGGAAAGAACTTTACTGCTGAGCCACACATCTATTTTTCCCTAGGTACATTTTTTTTGTTTGTTTCTTTTTTTTGTTTTTGAGACAGATCAAGTCATGACTGACATATTATGTAGGCCAGGTTGGTCTAGATAGACCTCACAGAGATCCTCCTGGCTGTCTCCAGAGTGCTGGGATTAAAGGAGTGCACCATCATCCCTGGTTCTAGGCACATTACATTTTAACTGACTGGCCAATAGACCAGGCTGGCCTCAACTTCTCAATTTGCCTGCTGCAGCCTATCAAGAGCTGGGATTATTGAACGAATTACCACAGATGATCCTAGTGGGTGTTGATAAATGAAATTTTGTGCTAGTGTAAACATGATGCATGCTTGTGTGTGTGTGTGTGCGCGTGCATGCCTATGGCCTGTGTGTGTGTGTGTGTAAGCCAGAGGTCAACGTCGGCTGTTGTTCCTTAGATGCCATCTACCTTGTTTCTTTGAGACAGTCTGGCTCAAAGCTTGTCAAGTAGGTTAGGCTGACTTGCCAGTGAGCTTCATGGATTCACCTGTCTCCACCACCCTAGTGATGGCTGAGATTATGGGTGAACACGATCAGATTTGCTTTTTTACATGTCATCTGGAGATCAAACAAGGTCCTCGTGGTTATATAGCATGCACTTTACTGACTGAGCCATTGTCTTAAACAGTGAAGTTGATTTTTATAAAAAATTTGTTTCTGAGATAGACTCCCTGTGTAGTTCACGTCGATCTTTCTGCCTTTGTCTCTTCAAGTGTTACCACTGCAGCCACTTTTAGCTAAGTACACTTTTTTATATGGTTTGTAGAACCCTGTACCAGGCTCTACCATTCATTTTCGGCTTCTTAGCTGAAAGACAGTAGGATGTATAAAATAGGAGTATCACATCTGTAAATCATACACAGCTGAAAAATTAATGACATAGCATCCAACATAGATGACAGAATTAAAAATTTCTACAATCAAAGGTTAGTAAGAAAGAGGCTTTCAAGAAGAGAGATTCAAAGACCCAAGATTGGTTTAGGTTGGTTTACATATGCCATAAAACAATGGCCAGGCAGTGGTGTTGCATGCCTTTAAGCCTAGCACTTGACAGGCAGAGGTAGGTGGACCTCTGAGTTCAAGGCCAGCCTGGTCTACATAGTGAGTTCCAGGATTACACAGTGAAACCCTGTATCAAAAAACAAAAATAAAACCCAAAGGTTTTAAATAAACCTTTGTTTAAATAAAAACAAAGGCAACAGCAACCAGTGAGCTGGCTCTGTAGGTAAAGGCACTTGTCAAGCCAAGTGTGGCAACCTGAATTGGACCTCGCATGCACATAACGGTGGAAGAGAATTGACTACACAAAGTTGTCTTTCTGATCTCTCCTAGTGCACTATGGCATGTGCACCAACATATGCACCTCTACCTTTGTATCCCCACCTCTCAATTAAAAAAAAAAAAGAAAGAAAGAAAGAAAGAAAAAATGCTAAGTATCTATGAACTGAAATTCAGTATTATTTCAGAAAAAGCCAGTGACTTAACCACAGTGTCCTGAAGAAGACAGCAAGGCTGAACTACCTTTTGGCTCCATCACAGTGTAGCCAGCCATTTGTTGGAGGTGATTCTTTTATTTCCTTTTCTTTTCTCTTCTCTCCTCTCCTCTCCTCTCTCCTTTCCTTTCCTTTTCGAGACAGGGCTGTCTTGGAACTCTCTCTGTAGACCAGGCTGGCCTCAAACTGACAGAGATCCTCCTGCCTCTGCCTCCCGGGTACTAGGATTAAAGGCATGTGCTACTACCTCCTGGCTGCTGGAAGTGTTTGGAGGATGGGGTGCTTTCAGTGGGACTAATGACAGCACTAGGCAAATCAGGAGGAGCTGTTCCTATTAGCAAATAATCTGAGTATTGCTAGGAAAAAGTGGCCAGGATACTGATGAATGGAATTACTTTGATACTAAAAGAAATGGAGGAAACGACTGTGGTTATTTGATATACATCAGAGACACATCAAAGTAACTGGTCTAGTGTGAAGAGATGTTGTTATAAAAAAATTAGAATTATTTTGGCAGCTTGATTTCAAAAAGTAAAATAAATAAAACAAAAGCAGGTCACTTTCTTCATAAGGTTAATTCTCAATACACATGTACACATGCTTTTTTATTTGTGGTCTCAATGATGGAATCCAGGACATTTGTATGCTAGCTGTATTTGTATTTGGCTCCTAGTTTAGCCTTAAAAGTAACATTAAAACAAAATGAAAAAAGTCACAACAGGGCAATTCTGATTCAATAAAAAGCATATTCTAGTACTGAGGACCACTAAAAATGAGACCACTTTCTGTGTAAGACAGGCAGCACCTCATCACTGGAGGTGATAACTTATCAACTGGGCATGGCGAGGCAAGTGAGGCAGGAATAGGATCTCAAGTTCCAGGCCAGCTTGTGATTCACAGTGCAACCTGTTCTGAAAATCAACAGCCAATCCTCAACTGCTCCGCCGCTCCCCTCCAATCTTGATGAACCATCACAGAGAAGCCCTATCCTATCTCAGTGTTTTTAAAAACACTATGATCCTTCTCACTTTCAGCTCTATAGGGATAGTCATTAACTGAATTTATGTCTTATAATATCCTAAAGGAGAGGCCAGACATGGTGCCACTGTTTATAATCCCAGCACTAATGGAGACAAAGACAGAATGATAGTGAGTTCTCCACCAGTTTGCCTTACATAGCAAGACACTACCTAAAAATAAAATAACTAAACCAACCTAAAACAAACAAACAAACAAAAAACCCAAACATGAAATGAAAACACCCTCAAACACAAAGTCAAGCAGCCGGTAGATGTGTAGACACTCACCCATGCCAGATTTACCATCTGGGTATGTGTAGACTTGTCCATTATTTTTGATAATTGGGAGATTGGAAGGTAAAGGAGCAACTTCTTCTTCACTCTCTTCGGAGCTGGAGCTGCTACTTGTGTCCTCACTGCAGCTATCATAGCCGTCAAACATCCCGAACGAGTCTTCTTTTTCTTTTCGATTGTGAAGAATGTTCTGTCTTTGTAAAGAAACCAGTGACATATGACACAGTGCTAACATATAGCTCTTTACAAGCCCTTAATACAAACTGTTAAGTGAGATTTGACAAATGAAATCTAGAACTGAGAATAGAAATTTTTGTTTGCTTATTGGTATAGGGTCTCTGTTACAGCTCGGGTTGGCCTCAAACTCAGGTGATTCTCCAACTTCAGTTTCTCAAGCTGCTGGGAATATAGGTGCAGGCCTAGCAGACAACATTATCTTTTAATGAAACATTAAACACTGTGGCAAAATGAACTTCTCTACTATGAGACACAAACTAGTTTGCAAATTTAATAATAATCAGAGAACTGAGACTGATATAATGATTTGTGTATTTAATGAGGCATGTCCCACTTCCCCTCAAAAAAATTACACCAGATCCATTCTTTTAAAAAAAACGAGATACAGTTGGGTGGTTGTGGAGCACGGATGCAGAGGCAGGTGAACCTCTGAGTTTGAGACCAGCCTGGTCTACAAAGAGAGTTCCAGGACAGTTATGGCAGTTACACAGAGAAATTCTGTCTTGAAAAACAAAACAACAAAAGAGATACAAACATTATTTCTTAATTTTCCTTTTTTCCCCTAAATTCTAAATTTCTTAAAAAAATTTCAAAAAATGCACGTGGATGTTTTTGTCTGCATACCAATTGTGTGCCTGGTATCCATAAAGGCCAGAAGAGGTTGATAGATCCCCTGGAACTGAAGTTATATAGACAGTTATGAGCGGTCATATGGGTGATGGGACCCGAACCTGTGTTCTCTGGAAGAGTGTCAACCACTGAGTCATCTTATTTTGAGACAAAGTTTGTTTGTAAGGCTGGCCTCAATCCTCCTGACAGTCCGAGTGGCTGAGATTACACAAGTGTGTCTTTGGTGCCCAATTTGGTTTCTCAGATCACATAATGTAACCTCAAAAACACTGACTTAGGTGCTTCCCTTGGAAATTTTTGCATGCACCAATAAAAGTAACTCCCAGCTCCTTTATAGCACTTGTCTGTTGTTCTGAGCAACTTTTGGATAGTTTTATAAATCAAATCTATCTTCGAAGAGTTAAAATTTGATACTACTGGAATATTTAAAAGGAGAAATCAGACTGTAAAGGCAATTCCAAAAGAAAATTTTTGTTAATTGACCCTGATGACGTAGGTGGTAGGGAACAGGCTAATCTTTATTTGATAGTGTGGTGCTATGAACACAGAATTCTGACCCACTTGCCAATTTTACTTGAGACTCAAGTTTCTTCTTAGTTACCAGCAACTACTCATCAAACACACGTGTACCTCATTGTAACTGTGCATACAGCAGACATGGTTCTCATAAATGGTGTCATGGACTGAGAAATGGAACAGTTATGGGCAACAGAATAACTAAGATGGAGCATATTCAATGGTGATACCATCCTCAGTGAAGTGTTGCATAGTACGTTCTTCTGGAGATAAGGCCTTTCTTTTGGAAGGAAGCTTGTTAAGACACAGGATGTTCTAAATGGGGGTAAATGTCATCTTTTAAGGAAACTCCTTAAGCTCAGGAAGTAAGCAACTCAAGGCTGCAGGAAGTCCCTGAAACTGACCAGATAGCTAGATGCCCCCTTCCTAAACATATAAGTACTAAGAATTGCTGAGAGACACTGTCTGGAAGAGGCAAGAGAGCAGCTGAGCTACATGTAGTTTGTGTAGTATTCTCCAGGTTTCTAGCTTTTGTGAGCTGTTACCCATGCTTGGGTATGCTTTGGTGATGCATATTATTTGGTGATGCATAGCTGTTATTGAGTCATTTCTGTTCCTTCTAAGTAACTCCTTATCCATAGCCCTGCAAGTAACCCCAATAAAACTAACTGACTCACCAAGTTGGAATTTGGTGGTATCCTTACTTTGATTTGTCATTAGTGCCTATCTGAGGTAAGTAGGCATTTGCTCATGTCTCCCCAGAAATAGTGTCATACAACATGAGGTAAGAAACAAAGGGTGACCCTTGAATATCTTCTGTTGAAACAGGCAGAAGGATCAAGATAAAGGATGATGAGTTGGGCATAGTGGCTCATGCTTTAATCTCAGCATTAGGAGTAGGTTGGGGTATAGTGTGGTGTGAGAGTGTAAATATGTGACTGAAGAGGTAAATGGATCTCTGTGAGTTTGAGGTCAGCCTGGTCTCCATTGTGAATTCTAGGGCAGCCAGGGTTACATAATAGAGAACTCTGTCTAAAACTAAAACCAAAACCAGAAGATAAAGGATTTGGGGCTATAATAACCTAGATACATTAATAGTGCAGCTATGCCTATCATGAGAGGAATGGAGGTGATATACAGGATGCTTTGCAGTGAGGTCATAATAGTCCTTTTAGGCTAACTCAGGTCAGGATTCTTTTCCCCACAGAGCCAAGAGAAGACCGTATAAGAACGATTTATGACAGTATATGATTTACAATGTTAATACCAGCTAGACTAGACTCTGAATCTCAAATAAATTCATGCAGAAATATCCATAAAGACTTCACGGAGGCCAGTGAGATAGCTCAGTGCTTGTAGCACAAGCCTAATAACCTGACTTCAGTCCATGGACACCACAGTGGAAGGAGAGAACCAACTACTGGAAAATTGATCTGTGATCTCCACAAGTGCCATGGCATGTGTGCACTGGTGCTATGTACACACATGCGCGTGCGCGCGCGCGCGCGCGCGCACACACACACACACACACACACACACACACAAATAGACCAATAATAAGCCCAGCACTAGCAGATCTGTAATTTGGGGGCCAGCCTGAGCTTCAGGATAGATAGGGCTATACAGAAGGACCTTGTCAGGGCTGGAGAGATGGCTCAGAGGTTAAGACCATTGCATGCTCTTCCAAAGGTCCTGAGTTCAATTCACAGCAACCACATGGTGGCTCACAACCATCTGTAATGAGGTCTGGTGCCCTCTTCTGGCCTGCAGGCACACACAGAATATTAAAAAACAAAACAAACAAACAAACAAAAAACAGAAGGGCCTTGTCTCAAACAACGACAAAAAAAACCCAAAATGAAACAACAACAAAAAAATCCCCGTAAACAAAAAAAAAACCCAAGTCCCCAAAACAAAAAAACTTCTCCCAAATAAAGATCCTCCAAGTTTTCATATATGCCCACTACACATTCAGTTCATTTAGCAAGTAATACGCGTCAACTCAATAGTTTATTCTAACCCTACTTTGAGAAATTATTATCTTGAAATTTCAAGGGATTAAGATTCCAAATGACAGTTTTAATAATTACAGACCGTTAATATTTTTAAAAGAGTTAATGCCAGATATGCTTTCTAATTTGCCTTCTGTTGCTGTGGTAAATACTACGACTAAAAGCAACTTGGAGAGGAAAGGTTTACCCTGCTTACATTTGAGCCCATCACTGACAGAAGTGAGGACAGGAACTCAAAGTTAGAACTGAAGCAGAGGCAATGGAGGAACACTCCTTACTGTATGGTCTTCTTTCTTACAGAGTTCGTGTACACCTGCTTAGGGATGGTACCTCCTGTGCTCCCCTCCCGTCCTCCCACAGTGGGCTGGGTCCTCCTATAACAATAAGTGTTCCACAGACTTACAACAGGTCAGTCTGACTTGAGCAATTCTGAGGTTCGTTTTCCCAAGGTCATTCTAGGCTTGTCAAGTTGACAATAAAGCTAACCAGCTAACCATCTGTTATTCCAACACTGAGGGCTGAGGCAGGAGGATCACAAGTTTAAGGTTAGCATCTGTTACATAAAGTAGCATGATCATTTAGAATTTTTTTTGTGCTTTCAAGGTGTTTTAGAGCCTTTAATATAATTATAGACATTATTAAAGAGGATATACAGTATTCAGTAAACATCTAGTTTATTCTGAAGGGCTAAAGTTTTAGAGGAATGCTTTCTGACCTTTTCTAAGGTCCTACCACACACAGAAAAGATCTTATAAACAAGTGAGAGAACAATTCCCTGGACAAACCTAGGCTGAGAAATCTGGCTATGCCAACATATCATGAGTATTTGACATATTTGTAAACGTTAAAAAAGGTTTTTTTATTATTATTTTTAGTTATTAAGTATAGCGTGTGAGGGTAGTGCCCATGGAGGACAGAAGAGCTCATACCTACTGGAGTTGAACTGCAGGTGGTTGTGACATGAACTTGGTTTTTTTTGTATATATGGTATTATTTCATTATTGTTATGTATATATGGGTGTTTTGCACCACATTTATGCCAAGTGCCTGCAGAGTACAGAAGAGGGTACTGGGTCCCCTGTAACTAGAGTTACAGATGGGTAGATGCTGGGAATTAAACCTGGAAAAGCAGCCAGTGCTCTTAACCACTAAGCCACAACTCTACCCACAGAATTCCTTTTCTTTTTTAAAAATAACTATAGATAGTCCTATCCTGTTGAGTAAGTCTGAGCAATTACTCTATATTGTATGAAGATCCCCCACGGCAAGAAGTGGCTGCAGTCTACCAGTACTTCCAAAGCTGAAACTACTTTAAGTTTTATCAGGTGACAGTGATCTATAATTCAGGCAGTTGTAATTTTCAGATTTGTCAAATATTACCAAGTAATCAATTATCAGACATGCAACCACCAACTATCAGTAGAAACAGAATGCAGGTCAGAAGAGGTTGTTGAATCCCCTGAAACTGGAATTACAGGCAGCTATAAAAGTGCGAGTTAATTGCAACTGGACCTCTGCAAAAACAGTGCTCTTAACCCCAGAGTGGACAACAACGAGTTCAGTCAGGGCCAGTGAGACAATTTAGCATGTTAAGGTCACGAAGCCTGGCACCTGAAATAGATTCTCAGGACTGAGCAGTGGAAGGAGATCAACTCCTGTATACTGTCCTCTTATTTCTACACAATCAGAGGCATGCATGTCCTATGCTCTTCCTCTCAAAAAAGAGTTCAAGACAGAGAATCCAAAATTCAATTAACAAACACATTCAGAAAACAAAGTAAAACAGATGGATGAAATAC